GTTCCTGCCCCGTCACTCGGCACGTCGCCCCCGGGAGGCGCTGCGACGGGCGACGGGGACCCGCGCGTCGCCCCCCGTCGCCCGTCGTGGCCTGCGCGCGGCCCGTACGGGCTGCGCCAGGCCCGCGCGCGGCCCGTACGGGCTGCGCCAGGCACGCGCGCGGCCCGTACGGGAAGCGCCAGGCCCGCGCGCGGCTCGGGCCGCCTGCGCGCGGTTCGGGCGGCTCTACCAGGCCCGTGGGCGGCCCGTTCCTCGCTGCTCCTGCCCTCTCCACTGTCCCCCGTGCTTCTACCGGCGCCTCACCCCTCCTACAGCCCGTTCTCCTGAATTAGGGTTTGGGGGTGAAGAGTGTGGGGGTGGCGGCTATGGGGGTGTCGGTTGTGAGTTCCTCCCCCTGCTCCTCCTCCTCCCTCGTCTCCCTCTGCTACAGCTGCCGCTGAGGGGGGTGGTGTGTGGGAGCCGAGGTTTAGGGTTTAAGGGGGGTGCCGTGGATGTGGAGCTAGGGTTTCAGCAGGGGGTGTGTGAGAAGGGCGTGGGACAGTCGGGGGAGGTTGAGCGGAGGCTGCCGTCTTGTCGTCAGCAGCACCTGTAGTCCGGGGCGCTTGTTCCGGTAGCCCAGTCGTAGCCAGCTGCGCCAGTCGCCCGTGGGTCCGTTGCTCGTCTGCCGCTCTTCTTAGCCGCGGAGCCAGTTACTCCTGTAGTCCGGGGCGCTTGTTCCGGTAGCCACTGAGCCAGTTTGACTCCTGTTGCCCGTGTGTCTGCAGCTTCAGCCGACGCCTCTTATCTCCTCTCCACCTACAGTCTCGCCTCCTCCTCCTCACTTGCCCTTTGTGAATGCCTCTAGCTTTGCATGCACTTGTGAATCTGCTCTATGACTGCTTGTTCTGCTGATTATACCCCACTTTGACTATGGGGGTGTGTCAGAATGTTGTATTTGTCTAGCCTGCAGTGGGGTACTCTATAGCGAGTACAGCCCAATCTAGGGTTCCTATATGTACTCAACTGCTTGCTAGTGCAACTCCTCTCTTTCTGCCTCTAAACTTTCTACTACCTATCTTGACACCGCGGAGACGGAGAAAGCGATGATCGATTACATAGTCGATGGACTTCCTAAGGAGTACGAATCCGACATCGGTATGTTTACGTACCAACCGCCAGAGAGTTTGATGAAGCTGCAGGAGATTCTGCAGTCACTTGAGACGGTGAAGGAGATGAGGAAAAAGAAAGCGGCAGCAGCGGCTAAGGAATTTGACGAGGAGAGGCCGGCTTTGGTGAATGCAACGAAGGCGTTTGGAGCGTGCTACCAGTGTGGAAAGCGCGGTCATAAGGCGATAAAATGCTACGAAAATCCGCGAAGCAGAAACTACAAGGGCAACGCGGCGGAGTGGAGAATGGGGGAGCGGAGTGGCAGCAGAAACGAGGTTTTGGCGGCAAGTGTGATTATTGTGGGCGCTACGGGCATCGTGCCGTAGAGTGCTACTCCAATCCAAACAGCAGGAGCTACAAGGGACCGTCGCAGCAGAGAAATGTGGCGGGAAAGGCGAATGTAGCGGAAGCGGAAAAGGAGGATGTGATTTTGGGAGGAGCGCATCTCGCGAACGTGGTGCGTCTACCGAAGGAGGTTCGTCAGGCGGACGGACGTGAGAAGACGGCATGGTTCATGGACAGCGGATGCACGCGTCACATGACATTCAGGTTATTGGATGGAGAATGTGAAGGAGTCGAGTGAGCGTTATATACTGCAAGGTAACAGTGGGAAGTTACCAGTGACAGGAGAGGGCGACGTTGTGCTGCAGAGTCCGTATGGAGAGATGAGACTGGAGAATGTGCTGCTGGTTGAGGATTTGAAGGTGAATTTGGTCAGTCAGTCACAGCTTGACGACTTGGGGTGCAAGATATTCTATGACAGTGGCGAGGTGACTGTGTTTGGTCCTAAGTGGGAGAAGTACGCAGAGGGTTACTTCAGTGACGGGTTCTATGAGATGAACTTGGTCGTGATGAGCGATAAGGATGAGACCTATGAGGATCATGAGATGGGAGAATTGGAGGAGTTCTCGAATGAGGTCGATCAGAGTGAAGACTCGGATGATACAGCAGCAAGTGTGGAAGAAGCAGTGAAGCAGGAAGAAGAGATAGTCAAAATGGAGGCAGCAGCAGTGAACGGTGGAGATGGAGTCGGTGTCAACACTTTTGCATCAGCGATCGTGGTTGAAGATGAAGCAGTCAATGCGAAGTGTGTGGGAGTTGAAGCTGTGAAAGGGGACGTTATGACGAAAGGATCAAAGGAGAATGCAACTGCAAAGGGGCGAGTGCTTATGAAAGAGGAACATGTTGAGGTGGTACGAGATCCAAAAGGTGTTGGGTGTTAAGACGCCAAGGTGCGAGAGGCTTAAGAAAATATCTCAAGGTTTGGATGTCAAGGCGCTCAACTACAAGACACGTAGGCAGAAGTTCAAGGAGCAGGAGCTGCAGGGGAGCATGAAGCCGACTTAGACCCTGTGAAGGCTATGAGAACCAGGGGAGGAGTGCGAGTGGAGTTCGTGGTTGACGAACCACAGGGGAGATTGTTAGGGTTGGTTCGCCCAACCACGAAAGCTACGGCGAGATTCGGTGCGACGGCGGAATGGAAGCGCGTGGGACTTTCTAGAGTGGAAATCGGCCTACGGCGAAGACTAGAAGCTACGGTGTGCGAAGCGGGAGAGAAATCGGGAAGAAACCAGAGAAATGGAGGAAGAAGAAGGAGAAGCATCGAGAAGGAGATCGACAGGGGGGAAGTTGTGGTTTGAGCTCGAGGCGTGTTCGAGAAGGTTCCAGATTCGGACTTGAGGAGTGTTCGGTGTATTCGGTTCGGTTCCGTGTGCGACTCGGGGTGAAACGAGGCGCACGCGGTTACTTGGGAAACAAGAGAAGTTACGAATCGCATTTTGTGGCTTGCCCGACTATAAAACTGCTTGTACTCATTCTGGAAATCATAACAACATTGGACAACATTGAGAACATTGAGATTCTGAAAATTGCTGAAGTGTGTATTGACAACTTCAAGCAGAGCTGCGCATATCATTGGATTCGGGAGATCGTGGAGAACACGATAAGCAATAGCAAGTAGACTATTGCCGACTAAGGCGTTTACGATCCTAAGAGGCCTGATTTCCCCTGACTTATCCTGGCTTGACTTAACCTAGACTGGCCTTGCCTGGAGCTGGCTTGGCTGTGCCTACCTAGGCTTGCCCTGGTCTAGCATACTTTGACCTGGCTTTACATGCCTGAGTTTGGTGGTGTGGCTTGAATTGCCTTGGCTTGGCTTGGCTATTCTACATTGGTTGTACATGGTTTGCCCATGTCTGGCCTTTCTGGCATGGCTTAAAATGGCTTGACCTGGCTTGGCTGGTTCGTTCGGGCATGAAATGGGCGGAAACGGCCTGGTCTGTACTTGCGTGGGCCTGGCGTCCAGTGCATTGGCTTGGATTGACCATCATTGGCTTGGCTGGAAATGGTTGGCTTGGCTTAGCTTGGCCTGGTACTTCTTCTATTGGCTTGGATTGACCATCATTGGCTTGGCTGGAAATGGTTGGCTTGGCTTAGCTTGGCCTGGTACTTCTTCTATTGGCTTGGCCTGGATATGTCCTGGCTGCATGGGTTTGTTTTTTCTTTGCGTGGTTTCGCCTGGCTAAGTTTACCTTTGTTTGACCAGGGTATACCTGTCTTGATTTGGTTATGCTTGGGTTTACGAGGCTATAATTGGCTTTACTAGGCTATACTTGGCTTGACTAGGCTATACCTGCCTTGGCTAGGCCATACCTGCCTTGACTAGGCTAGACTTGCCTTGACTGGCCTATGAGTAACCTATGTTGTACATACAGGCATCACTTGGATGGACTAGCTTGGCTTGGCTGGCGTGGCCTGGACTGACCTAGCTTGACCTGGCTTGGCTTGGCTTGGCTTGGCTTGGCTTGGCTTGGCTTGGCTTGGCCTGGCTTGGCCTGGCCTGGCCTGGATAGGCGTGGATTTGTTTGGTTGACTCAGACTGGCTCGGCTTTGCTTGGTTTGGTTGGCACTAGGCTTGGCTAGCTTGGCTTGGCCTGTTATGGCCTGGCTTGGATTGGCTTGGTATGTCTTGGCCTGTCTTGTCTTGTCTTGTCTTGTCTTGCCTTGGCTTGGCTTGTCATGGCCTCGTCTGGCACGGCTTAACATGGCATGGCAATGCTTGGCTAGGCTTACCTAATGTTTTGGCTTGGTATGGCTTATGTTGAGTTCTGTTGGGTTTGATTGGTCTGGCTGGATTTTCTTTTCTTGGCTTGGCCTTGTTTGCCTCTATTTTCCTTGTCTTTGACTGAGTAGGCTCAACTAGGGTATAACCTTTGTAAATGGTTCGTTGTCCCTTGACCTGGATTGCCCTAATTTTCCCAGGCTTGGCATGGTTTACCCTGGCTTGTGCTTCGCTTGGCCTGACTTGGACTGGCTTGGCTTGGACTGGCTTGGACTGGCTTGGCTTGGAATGGCTTGGCTTGGAATGGCTTGGCTTGGAATGGCTTGGCTTGGAATGGCTTGGCTTGGAATGGCTTATATAGGCTTGGCTTATATATGCTCGTCCTGACACGCCTTGGCTTGACTTGGATAAAAAGTTATGGGTAGGGTTTGCTGGGCTTGGCTTGCCATGCCTTAGCTTGGCTTAGCTTAGGTTGACTTTGCTTGGCTTGGATTGGCAAGGCTATGATTTGCTTGGTTCTACTAAAGGTTTTGTTGATGGATTGCTGCATCCTGGAGCCTGCCTATCGTGGCTGAGTTGTCAATTCATGGAGGAGGGAGCATGGTGTGTTCGATACGGACTAACGAAATGTGTATGCTGCTGGTCGATAGAAAGATGATGCATAAGTAAGAAGACCTGTAGCTTTACATTCCACTCTACATCGTCCATGTGGCAAATTGGACTCATATTGTTTTTTACACTCCCGGAAGAGATGGGAAAGGTTTTTATAAAGCATCACACATAAACCATTCCCCTACTGGTACTTCCTCTGAGTCACGCACATGTTCTTCTGCCAGTCCCAGTTACTCTGAATCAGAAACCTCATGTTCTTCATCCCAACCAGATTATACTCGTACGTTCCGCCGCGACTGTCCCTGCCGGTTTTCGTCTGACCAACATCCATGTCACACTTGTCTGCATTCTCACCGTTCTCGTCACCCCACCCAGTCTGAACATCAGGGTCCGTTGCTGCTTCAGCGATTTCGTGAGCAATTGTTGAAAGCGTGAAATCAATCCCAGGGTTCCCATTGGGTGACGGATCCGGTATCCAATCCTGGTTGCACTGACCGTGATGCCCCACGAACGCGAATACAACCGGCTTTGACCCGATGTGGTACATGTCGTGCCATCCCAAGTAGTCGGTACAGAAACCCGGAACAGTAACGTCCTTGCTGGTAAGAACCAGATAGATTCCACTTGCGTCGTACGGCAATGGCTTTCCCGCGCCAATCTTGCTCGAAATAACTGCGACAGAAGCGGGAATTGAATGGTTTAGATAGTGACAGAAGCGTAGCCAGAGTTTCTTACAGAAGTGCAGGAATCATGCTTAATGGTAACTCTTATGGAATTCAGGAAGAGCCAAAATGGTTCTGTTGTGCTGCATACCTTCAAAAACCGTAGTGTCGCCGTAATTTGTGCCATCGTCGAAATCCGTTCCCACCGAGTAGTTGTCATAGACAGACCTGCCAAGGCGCACCTGGAAATGCAAATGGAACCAAGAGAATTTGCGTTGCATCAGCTGAAAAAGAAATCCGAGGCGGCTCAAGAGAGCACGGTGGCAGAAGGTTCCAAGCAGCTTTATTATGATCCAATCAAGAAATTTGCAACATCCCATTGAGCCACATGTCCGTTGGGAACCCTCCCATGACAGTTTCATCGATTCACCTGCTAGCAATAGTGGATACGGTAACCATCCCACTGCATACCTTGCTGCTGACGTTCTTCGTTGTGCCATCCTCCCCCGTCTGCGTGTACGCCGCGCTGATCGCCCACCAGCGCTTCACCTTGGGATCCGCGGGACCCCCCTGCTGCTTCGAGTTCGCACTCAACGATCGGATGAAATTCTCGATGATATTCTGGCCCGAACCTGCCGGCCAGCTGCCGTAGTAGATAATGTACACGTTGACGGACGGGTTTCCGGTCATCACGGGCCCTCCTCCGTATGTGATTGGAGCGCTTTTATCTTCAAACGTGTGCACACGTGGGCGCGCGCCACGGCCGACGATTTCGTCCAGCTGGCGCTGATGGCGGTGCTCGTGCGAACGGGGCGTGCGCGCGATGCGCGGCGCACCGGCGGATGCGAGGGGGAGCGACGAGATGCAGACGAGGGAGAGGACAACGAGCAGCAGGGAGAAGTTTCCCGTGAGTTTTGCCATTTCGAAGGGGTGTTGGAGAGCCTGGGGCTCTTTCAAGGCAGAAAAAAATGAAGGGGGAGATGCTAGCGCAAGTTGCTCTTGGGATCAACCGAGATAATTTATGAATACTGTTGTTAAATGAGGACGTAGAGTGATCAGAAAAGGGACTCAAAACAGGTGCAAACAGGAGGGTGACGACCGAGGGAGGAAGGAATGTTGATAAGAAGCGCTAAGAGTAGTCATTTATACCTCTCAGCATGACGCTCAAACACTGGCAGTGTTGGGGACGTGTGTGTGTGTGATGAATGTCCCAACTAATTTTCCTGTCTTTTCTTCCCGGCACAGGGAGAAAGCATTTCCCCGCAATGCAAATGTCCAAAATTTTCGCGGCTCGATTTCGTGGAAGGTGTTCAATCGGCGTGGAAAATTTAGTCGACCACGCCGATTTATCGACCATTTGGTTGCATCTGGCGAAAGCGAAGGGTGTAACAGAGCTGCGAAGGGTGCGAAATTTCTAAGCTATTCTGCTCGCCAGCACGTGGGGCACCCAACAGAAACCACCCCCACTGAAGATCCCAGCGGAATTCGGTCGACGGAGCCGGATTGCCAGGGTCGACAAGGGGGTTCGACGGAAGGGGGCCCGATGAGGCTGGCGACTGACGCGCGTGCGGGCCCGCCAGCCTGGCCCGGGGCCGGGCCGAGCGCACGACCGCCGCCCCGCAAAACCCCCCCCCCCCCGGAAGTGAACAGCGACCCACGTTACCGGGTGGGGGCGGCGAGCTGGCGAGACCTCGCGCGAGGGAAAGTAACCCCGGCGCGAAGGCAGCCCACCCGTCCCTCCTGCCCGCGAGGTCCTAGTAACCCATCGCGGCCTGCCCGTACGGGCAGGCGAGGCCCCTGCAAAATTCGGGGGCTCCCCTCGGGACGATCGGCGATTTCGCGACCCGTTGCGGTGACGCCACGTGCCCGCCCGTCGTTTCGCATCGTTTTTTCTATGCATGCGACATTTCGTACCCGCCGAAAATCGAGCGAACCTCTGGGTCGCTCGCACCAAGGCGCACATTTTTCGCGACCCGCTGCGAAATCGACACGTGGTGCCGAAACGTCGCACCGCGTGCATGCGAATTTGCGTCCCCTGGCTGACCGAGGCCAGGGGACGTGACGTCGACCTGCTGGCTCGGCGGCGAGGGTGCACTTGTGCCACGCCACCCGTGCACGAGCCCTGCCGAGCCAGGGACCACGGCCCCCTGGGCGACGCTCAACCGGGCCTGCGAGGCTCCGCCTGGCTTTTCCTCGTCGGAGGTGGCCTGGCCCTTCATTTTCGCGTTCTCGTTTCTCTTTCATGTTCTTTTCCCACCTCTGCGCCTTCCATTCTCCCACCGTTTCTTCCCTTAGCCCGTAGCATAGCATCCTCGCTCTCCCGCCATGGCGGCCGACCAGAAAGCCGACGAAGCGACGCCGACCTCGCGCGACTTCCCCCTGTATCTAAGCGTCGGTAGAGGACTCACATCCAAGTTCGAGGAACACGACTACGCCGTTCTGACAAACCCTATGCTAGAGTTTAACGCCCGTTGCTTGGGACTCGGCCTCAAGTGAGTGACGTATGGGGATGTCGGCGTCGTTATTTCATGCTGGTGATAGCCCTAGCGTGGTTTCATAATACCCGTCTTTTAGGTCGACGGACTCATGGGTTAGGGATTAGGGATGTCGATCACATCGGTGGCGCCGACGTAAGGTGTCTGGTCGGCGTAGGCGATGCGTTGTGCCATATTCATTCGGCTCTCGTCGAATCCCCGACCCGTCGTGTTATTGCCGCAACCGTAGTATCTGCCGGCGTCCCGACCACATCCTCACGCACTCCTCCTGATCATGCATGCGTGCAGGCACGCATGGTTGCGCGGAACGGAGAAGGACCAGCGGCTGTGGTCGATAGGAGTCGGCCGTCTTAGGGCGGCGATGGGTCAGAACGACCATACCGTCTTCGCGAAGGTTTTTGACGCCGACGTGGCGGTTATCCCACTGATATCGAGGTGAGGGTGTTCGGGGTCGTCGCGCGTGTGGTGCAACCTGCGTCGATTATGTGTTCTGATCTATGTCGACGTCCATTGTCTGTGCAGCATCGCACCGCTTCCGGGAACACATTGCAGCGTCATTATCATCCTGTGCCCCGGCGACTTGTTGAAGGCATCGGGCCAGTTGATCAGGACCTCGATCCGGCACGCCGACCCGCAGACTGTGAAGGAGTGGCACATCAAAGAGGCGAAACGCGTGCTGGAGTGAGCTCAATAGTGTAGTCGACGCCGCTTGCGTTGTCAATGCTTAGCGTGCACCGTGCTAACTGACCGTCTGTGCCATGCTTTGCAGGTTTTTCCGGGCGGCTGTAATGGCCGAGCTTCGGCGCGAAGGTAGGAAATGGGACTGGGCGAAGCCGTCCGAGGAGGAGGTGCATGCGAGGCTCGCCGACTGCGACGAACCCCTTCGAGATGTGAGTTTCGTACGTTTGGTGTCAATTCCTTGCGCGATGCAACTGCCGTTCGTCCTTGCGAGATGCGACTGCCGATCTCGGTGCTCATATCAGCGCTCTCCTGTGTTGTGTGCAGAAAGTGCCCGACACCGTCCGGGACGGGGACGCGGGCTCCGGCCTGCTAGCAATGAGCGCGTTGCTCTGGGCGGTGAGGCGGAAGGATCGGTTGGCCGGCGCCCTCCGTCGCAGTGCCACCAGCATGGACAAGGTCGCTGTTGCGGGGTTGAAGGGGCTGCGGACTGAGATGGTAGCCTTCATCAAGAAGCAGGTCGCGCTCATACGGTCGGGCCGAAACGTAGTTGCGGCCGACGTCTGTGACGACGACGGCGAGGAGGTTCAGTCGGCGCCCCAAGCTGGCGGTGTCGCCCCTGCCGTCGCTGATGCGCGTGGCACCTCGGTCGGGAAGCCGGGTAGCGGCGTCGACGAGGCCGATGCGGCAGCAGGACATGGGGTGGCCGGGACCGAGGAGAAGCATAGGGACGAGGTTGTTCATGGGGATGATGATGGGGTCCAGGGTCGTGAGGCGGATCGTGAGGATGAGGGGGGCTCGGAGGAGTCGGAGTCGGAGTCGGAGTCGGTGTCGGAGTCGGTGGAGGAGCAGGAGCAGCAGGAGCAGAAGAAGCAGGAGCACGAGAGGCAGCACCACGAGCAGCAAGAGGAGCAGCATGACGAAGAGGTGGACGTGGAAATGGCGGAGGGGAACGTTGCAGAAGGAGCGGCGGAAACGGGTGGGAGATCGGCGGAAATCGAAGGAGAGGGGAAGGGGGCGACAGCGGAACCCAGCAAGGAGGTCGGCGAGGAGGCGGCTCACGGGGGGAGTGGGATGGTCGTTGTCGGCGAAGGGTCTAGGGAAGTTGTCGACCTCGAGGCCGACGAAGATGGGGATTTCGCCGCGGCGACGAAGCAGACGGGCGTGGAAATGCATACCGATGCTACCGGAGAGAAGGCCGGGGGGGAGCGGTCCAGGAAAAAGAAGGCGGTGAGCGGTCATCCAAGTTCCACCGCAGTTGGTCGGCAGGCGATGCCGGACGTCGTCGAGCAGCTGCGTGCGGAGAACCGACAATTGCGTGCCGACAATGCACGCTTGCAACGGCAGCTCGTAGGTCAGACGGGGCGGGTCGACTGCTTGGCGGCGGCGGTAGCTGGGATCCTCGACAAGCTCACGGCATTGACCGCCCAGGTTGCGGACACCGACCGGAAATCGGTGGAGCGCCTCAAAGAGGCCACGTCGACCATGGCGGCCACAATCACCGAGGACCTCACCAGCAACCTGGAGAACGCAGTTGAATCGGGCAAGAGGTTTGCCGAGCTAGCGAGGCAGATGCTGCTGGATATTGACGCCCCCAACGGACGAATGGCGGTCGCTCGAGCGACCGCGGTGGACCAATTGGCCGACCACGTGACGGGTGAGGTGGGTGAGGCGAGGAAGGCTTTGGAGGAGACGTTCATAAAATACATCGGCGCCGCGCAGACCAACATTGCAGCCGCCGTGTCTCCCCGCCTCGTCGTGCAGCCGCCGCCGCCGACCACCCCAGCGCAGGCCTTGCCGGAAGAGTTCCTGAATTCATTCAAGGAGGATCTGCTGAAGGCGGTGACGGAGGTCACGCAGCAGTCTTTCCTCGCCTCCGGTTTGAAGATAATGACCGAGATGGTCGGCACTGTGGCGACCCAAGCTCGGCGTGGGTCGTCGCCGTCGGCCAACGACGCCGGCCATGCGCAACCTATGGAGGCCACGAAGCAGGGTCTGAAGAGGGGGGCAGGCGGCGGGGGGGGCGACGGAGACGACGCGGGGAGCACGAAGCGGAGCAAGGGAGCGGGGGGTTCTCGCGTCGCCGGCGACGGTAGCAAGAAGGCCAGAGAAGGAGGGGGGGGGGGGGATGGAGACGATTCGGCGAGCGCGAGGCAGACCAAGGGAGCGGTTGGTTCTCGCGTCGCCGGCGATGGGAGCAAGGGAGCCGGGGAAGGCAGTTCGGGGAAGCAGTCGGGGAAGAGCGTGCTCGACATGCTCAAGAAGCACTGGGCTGGGGTTCGAGCGGCCAGCACTGATCAGGGTGGTGGGGGTCCCGCCGACGAGCATGCCACTGATGACGCACTGCCAAGGGCTCCGCCTTCGGTCGCCGATAAGCCACCACGACAGGGTAGCGGTGAAGAAGGGCTGCGCGACAAGGAGAAGGCGGCCGCAAAAACGGCCCCAGCTGGCCAGGGCCCGAAGACAGGGGTCGCGGTGGCGTCAGCGGTTCCTCACCAGCCCCCAGCTGGTGCACGCCCTCCGACCGGACCGTCTGCCGGGCGACCTGCCGACGTCCCGCGCTCTGCCGACGTCCCGGCTGCCGACAAGGCTGGCCGCGCGGGGAAAGGGGCGGCAGTTGCGGACGCGCTCAAGGAGCAGCTCAGGCGCCTAGCCGGCCACAAGGCTGTTCAACAGCCCCCCGCTGCTGTCGACGCCCCATCTGCCAGTGTCCCAAAGTCGCCGGTCGTCGCCGCCCGTGCTCCTGCA